TATATATATATATATATATAAATGCAGCTAATTGATAATAAAATGCCTCTATCAGCCAGCTTCCTTGTTTCTTGGCTTTTCTTACCTAGATCTTTTGATGTAAACCAGTACGCTTAGATCTCTAACTGAGGGACAGCTCTTTGAAATCACCTTTTTTATTTTAAAGCATGCAATGTATCTAAGTAAGATGATGTTGCAAAAAGGTGTTAGTATGGTAGGTATCTTTTATAACTGATCTCTCCAGCTATCCTCCTTGTATTTGCTTTGTTTAACATCAAGTATCTAATCAACATGTTCATATTATAGAATCATTGAATGGTTTGAGTTGGAAAGGGACCTTTGAAGATCATCTAGTTCCAATCCCCCTGCTTTGGCAGGGACACCTCCCACTAGGCCAGCTTGCTCAGAGCCCAGTGCAACCTAGTCTTGAACACATCCAGCGCTGGGGCATTTACAGCTTCCCTGGGCAACCTGTTCCAGTGTCTTGCCACCCTCATAGTGAAAAAATTCTTCCTAATTTCTAATCTAAATCTACCCTCTCTCAGTTTGAAGCCATTATCCTTCATCCTATCACCACAAGCCCCTGTAAAAAGTCCCTCCCTCTATTTCTTGCAAGACCCCTTCAGATACTGGAAGGCTGCAATGAGGTCTCCCTAGAGCCTCCTCCAGGCTGAACAACCCCAGCTCTCTCAGCCTGTCATTGTAGGCTTGGTGTTCCAGTCCTCTGATCATCTTTGTGGCCTTCCTCTGGACCTGCTCCAAGAGGTCTAGGTCCATCTTGTACTGGGGGCTCCAAAGCTGGACACTGTACTCCAGGCAGGGTCTCACGAGAATGGAGCAGAGGGGGAGAATCACCTCCCTCAACCTGCTGGCCATGTTTCTTTTGATGCAGCCCAGGATAGGGTTAGCTTTTGGGGCTGCACTCATACATTTTTGGCTCATGCTGACCTTTTCATCAGCCAGCACCACTAAGTCCTTCTCTTCAGGACTTCTCTCAATCCACTCATTGCCCAGCCTGTATTTGTGCTTGGGATTGCCCAAACCCAGGTGCAGGACCTTGCACTTGGCTGTGTTGAACCTCATGAGGCGGGCATGAGCCCAACCTCTCAAGCCTGTCAAGGTCTCTCTGGATGGCACCCCTTCCCTCCAGCATTATAATGATGTAAAGATTATATTTCAGAATACTGTAATTTAAAATCTGTGTCTGAATTGAGGAAACTTTTTTTTCCTGGACAAAGACTGTTGTTAAAGGTCTATGTTACTTTGTCTTTTTTGCATGTGCAACAGGTTTCATAGTGTCACTAACAGCAGGGTCTTCCTACCAACCTAAAAGATCTTGCTTCCCTTTACCTTTTTATCTGTCCCTCAATTAAAAACTAGTACAAATGGCTCTAACATGGTTTGTTGCTGATTTACAGGAAATTTGTTGCATTACGTTATGTTTTTGGGACAGTGAAAGGTCAAGGAGAGTCTTAGAACCTTGTAGCTTTCAAGAAATACCCTGAAATTTGTTTCATATTATCTGTTTGCTTATCCTTGAATCTCACTATTTCTGTTGCTTCATACATAAATATATCTTCTTGTTCTGGGAGAAGAAGCTGTAGCACAGACCTTTTAAAAAGTTTGATAAGAATTTAAGGATTGTTTAATAAATCTAGAGGTCTCTACTGGGCCTATGGTTCTGTGGGTAATGTCTTACAAAACTCTTAATCATCTCTTTAAAGTATGCTTTAAGGAGCTTCTTGGTTAGGGAGTTATTTCTTGTTACAGATTTAGAGAATATTTTTCAAATACAGTACTGCAGAAAGAGGAGGATTTTAGTTTCTCTAATAACTGTTCTCTACTGACAGCTAAACAATGAAAGGCCTCAAAAGGTTTGACACTTGATTAGATCTACAATGTAAAGTGCAGCAGGCAAAAAATATGGTAATTAAGGGCCTGATCAAGGAAATCACTCAGGTATGTCTTTAACCTTAAAGACATGAGCATTCTAATTAGTTTTTAAAATACACAGCTATTCATGTTTGTAACAAATCTAATTTGGATCAATAGTCTTGTCAAATGCAAACATGAGCCTTTCAGTCAAAAGATGAGCCATGTTGCAACAAAATAATCTATTAACCCACACAAAATAATTATCTTGAGAACATATGGTGTAACTATAATTACCTCATATATTATTTTGTTATTGTCATTTGTTAGCATTGTGAGTGTAACTATCTAAAAACACCTTATAAAGGTATCTTTGGTCAATATACAGGTCATACCTCATGAGTTGAGATTGCTTACTGTTGTGGTTTGAGGCTTGGAATGGGGTCGTGACCTTCCAGCAACTGGGAGGACCCCGGGTGGGGGTGAAACCATTGTATTCCCTCCCCTTCCCACACACACTCTGATAAGAGGCAGGGAGTGGTTTCTTGTTTCACTCCTGCCTTGGACCTCAGAGAGGAAAGTTCTCCTTTCACTCCGTGGGACCCTGGAACCATTTCTGAGGGTTTTGTATATTTTATCTTTTGTATTATTCCCCTGATCTTTATATATATTATTTTCCTTACCTCCCTTTTTCGTTTTCTGTTCCTTGTTGAACAATATACTTCATTTTTTTTTTTAAAAAGTGTCTCTCTCTCTCTCAAGGGGGTGGGGGAGAGGCGAGTACATAGTTCTGTTCCGTGTGGGTCCTGCCCTGAACCCCTTTTTACACGGAACCAGGACACTTACTTTGGTAGCCTACACATAACCCACCTGTAAAAGCAGTTTTTCTTCTAAACTCACGAAAAAAAATTTATCATTCCTTTTCTGGAAAGCTTTTGGGAGGAAATTTAAGTTCTTTTACTCAATTTCTTACAAAATCTTGTCCAGTGTAAGGACTGTTAACGTTTTGCCCCTGTTTGGGTAAAGCACTGTAGAGTTCCTGGGAGAATCCCACTATTAACTCTTTTCCATTTGGGAAGGGACTGTTAAGCCCTACTCTTCAACCAGCTTTTAGGCCACCTAAGAAGGTGTTGTTCACCTCTGTGGGAACTTGTGCTCTGAATTAATTTTGGTGTGAGACCATTTCAAATGCTGTGCTGATTGTGTTTACCTGGGTACTGACACCAGCGTTCACCTCCAGCGAGTTGGTGACGCAGGATTTCCTGCAGGCTGAGACAAGGCTGAGTTCTATAAAGAAATGTAGGATATTTAGACTGAGGACCAGCTTCCTCAAATAAACACTGTCTTACCAAGGATCTGTGTATCTGTTGTGTTTGAAAGATTTAATTTAGAAAGTATATTGTTATTACAGACCAGTTCTAAATTTAACTTTGAGATTGCAGAAGTGTAATGCACTTTCTCTCAACAAAACCAAAACCCCAGCCTGAGTATCTAGCAGAAGAGTTTCTAGAGTAAATGGATTGTGTTTCAGATAGAAGTGACTGATACTGGTTTGAAAGATTGCTGCAAATTAAAGTATAAATAAATGGGTTAGAACCAGGTAACTGGTAAGTCACAGAGAAAAGAGACTGTAGTTGCAGTATTTCTGGAGCATGATAGGATTTGGTGGTTGTGTGGGCTTTTTTTTTCTTCTTGATTTAACAAGTTGAAAATCTGCTGAATAATTCATGAAGAGTGGAAGGGCTGAATCTTCCTGGAATGATATACAGTGTACGTACTGTGGCACAGGAGAAACTGCAAAGCTTTGTATCAGTTGCTGCCGTTTCTGCTGCTGATTGCAAGGTGCTGCTGCTGCTTTTTGGCGTTTTCACAGCGACAGAATCCTGTCGTGCTCTGGTCTGCCAACAGCTACCTGCTCCCTACGGACCCACCTTGCCAGCTACAGTCTGTAGGATCTCTTGCTGCCTATCTGCTTTGGACACTGCTGTTCTCGGGATCGTGACTGTGAACTGCGTTTTCTGGACCTTGCTGTTTGCATGACTGAAACCTGCCTTAAGACGTGCAGCTGAGGGACTCTTCCCTTGTGCTTGGTGGGGGACTCCTGCAGAAGAATCTTCTGACCCAAGCGAGGATGGGATTTACAGGGAGAAGTCAACACTGAGCTGCGTTCGGCGAGATGCCCAACGCCTCTTCCTGGAGTGCCAGCTCGCCCCTGCTGCTGCTCTGGGAGGACTCCTCTGAGACTCGCATCTTCCTCTCGCTGCTCTACGCGGTCTTAGCTATCTCAGGGACTTTATCTAATGTGATGGTCATCTATTTAGTCTTCTCCTTCAAGAAGCTGCAGACAACCAGCAATGCCTTCATCGTGAACGGCTGCGTGGCAGACCTAAGTGTGTGCGCCCTGTGGATGCCCCAAGAGGCTGTGCTGGGGCTGCTGCCTCCCAACTCCTCCTCACTTCGCTCGGCGGAGTACCGGCTGCTCCGAGGGGGCCTCCTCGGCCTTGGCCTCACCGTCTCCCTGGCCTCCCACCTGCTGGTGGCCTTCAACAGGTACGTGCTCATTACCAAGCTGCCCAGCGTGTACCAGGCCCTCTACCAGCGGAGGCACACGGGCTGCATGATCGGGCTG